CGCCTGCCCTGCCCGTGCGGGGGCGACCCGCGCGCTCCTCCTCCGCTGCCCGAGCGCCTCCTCCGCCGAGCGCCTGCAGCTTTCCCCGCGTGCGCTCCCGGGACCCGCGCTGCCTCGGCGCGAGCCTCCCCTGGGCCGCCGCGATCGCTTTCCAGCGCCGCGAGCGCCTCTCAAACCCACGTTGGAGGCATTGCAACATGCCCCCCCCCTCTCCGCCGCTCCCATTGGCCGCCCGGCGTTCTAGAGCGCGCCCGCGCGCCGCTGGATTGGACAGCCGGCCCCCCGGTTTGGATACACAGCGTTCCATTGATGTTGGCAGCCCGTCAATCAGAGGTGAGAGGTCCCGCCTCCCTTTCCCACCCAAGGTGTGAAAGCTGGACTGGAGACTCCCACCACTACCACCGCCTCTTAAAGGGGCAGCTGAGATAAAGGGAGAGCCAGATTTTCTTTCTTTCTTGACACATTCTCACTACTCAAGAAACATGAAAGCGAACCAGCCTCCCAACTTACTGTGGTTTTGCAAAGCCCAACCTCAAACCAACTAGGTTTCTCAAAAACATGGTTGTGACTATTTTCTTCCACTATTTGATCTGAGGAAGTGGGTCTGGCCCACGAAAGCTCATCACCCAATAAACCATCTTGTTAGTCTTTAAAGTGCTACATAGTCCTGTTTTTTTGTTTCAGCTATACCAGACTAACACGGCTACATTTCTATCACGGCATCCTTAGTTCCTCTCCTGTATAATATAATGAATATAAAGTCTTAGAATGAATTAAACATACTATACATTTTGCATATATATAAGCTATTTTAGCATAGGTATAAAAAATACCTGGCAAATATGGGTAAGTTTTTTATTCCCCATTCTACGGAGAAGAGCAAAGAACTATCTGTTTCCTAAACCAATGTTCACTGAACTTTAAAGACAAGCTCATCTAATAAAGTGAGTTTACCTACAAAAACTCATGATACTATCCCCACTATAAGTCTCCCCAGTATACATCTGTTCCCCACTAAAGTCGTTGATGCTTTTAGGAGCTCATGCGTTACTTAAAAGTCCTCCTATACCTCACTCTTAAGTTGCACACAAAAAATTTCAAAAAACCCACCAATTTGTGCAAATGGAACTTAACTGCAGGGGAAAAAATCCCCACTTTAAGTTGTTTCACTATAAGTTTTTCTGAATGTATCTTGGACTTACAGCGAGGGCGGACATATGTATATGTTAGTCTCGTAGGGTATGTCTACGCAGAAACATTATTTCGAAATAACTTAGTCCGCATCTACACAGCAGGCTGCTATTTCGAAATAATGTTGAAATACTGTCAAGCTGGACGACTTCTTACACCGACTCCTGTAACCCTCATTGTACGAGGAGTAAGGGAAGTCGGAGGAAGAGTGCTCTATTTTGAAATAAGTGCTGTGTAGACGCTCCCAATTTTGAAATAAGCTATTTTGAGTTAAGCCCTGCTGTCTAGACGAACCCTAAAGTGCCACAGGACTTCTAGTTTTTAAAGTTCCAGACTAACACGGCTACCCCTCAGAGACTTTTTGAAGACAATACTTGGAGATGCTTTAGCATGTGTATTTTTGCTATACCTAGTATATGCATATAGGTAATAGTAAAATCAATAATAAGAAGTGCTCGGAATTCCTTGTCAGGCACTGAACTATTTTACAAAGGGCTGTAAAAACAGACTGAAAAGATGGCCCAGTCCTGAGAGTGTATGCTCTGGGTATAAGGCAAGAGAAGCCAGCTGGATACAGACAGAAAGGGAGCCCATGCCTAATGCGTAACATGTGCCAAAGAGCCTGCATTCCAAATTCAGTCAAATCAGGACCCATTAGACAGTGGTTACACAAATGTTACAAAAGTGCTGATAAATGCAGCAATACACTTCTACACATGCATTTAGGGCCTGATCCAAAGCTCATTGAAGTCAGCAGAAAAACAACAAATAGTCTTGCCTTAGTAGGCTTTGGATCAGGCTCATACACTGGGATCAGTTGGAAGGCAGCTCTCTGCCTTCTCAACACAGCAGGTGAGGCAGGTACACTAGAACGACTTACATTGGCCCAGATCCTGCAACTAGAGCTGTGTGAAGAGATGGATTTATCTTTAGGGAGAGGAGCAGCTAATATGGGTCTGACCCTGCTTCCATTGACTTCCATGCCTCAGTCCTGCAACCAAATCTGTATGGCAGGGGTGGGGAACCTAAGGACCAGGGGCCAGATGTATGTGCCCCTCTCTCCCTCCCCCCCCCCCCCCCCTCCCCCTCTGCATTTGGGAGCATGCACTGGTACTCCAGCCCCATCCTGGGGGGCTGGAGCACACAAAATCACTTAGCCTGGACCCACCTAGGCTCTGCTGTGCAAGAAAAATGCAGGGAATGTCTTTCTGCTTCTCAGTCAGGGGCCACGTAGTGAGGGTTTGGGGTTTTGTTGGTTTATGTTTTCTGGTTTGGGGGTGTTTTTTCTTCTCACTTGCATGCAGCCTCTGATTGATTTTTCTGTGGGTCAGCATCCTTCCTGTCCCAAAAAAGGTTCCCCACCCCTGCTGTGGTTGAAGCCCCTTGAACATGCTCTGAGTCAATGACAGCATTGCAGGCACTCCATCAATTTAATTGGATTGGGCACTATTCCGAAATAAAGTTTAAATGGCCTGTTTATCTTCTAAGAGACACCTGTTATGTTTTTTACATAAAGTAGGGGCACATTTCTTTATCCAGATTTGTTCCTAAAGGTTGCCACGGCCACATAAAAATGCTGCCACTTGAAATGTTGCTGTTTCAGCGTCAACGTTTTTTGATGAAACAGCAGGTCTGCGGGAAAAGAATTTGTGCGTGGTGGCAAATCTGCTAACAGCCCCGTTCAACAAAATAGCCGAACTCTCCAGCTTTGGTCACAGGCACTGACACTACAGATTTTGTGGTTTGCTTGCCATGAAGTGCAAAGCACATGAGTCAAAATCTGAAAATCTCACTCTACCGTGTCAGTAGAAAGGGGAGCCGGTGTTTTGGCACTGCCCCCAGTCTAGTGAGGAACATGAAGTCATGTCTACTCTCTATACCCATTTATGGAAGTTTGCCCAAACTGACAACATCTTGCTGATTGGTCTGAGAGTACTTGGAGAGAATAGTCATGTCAACACTCAAGGGAGGATTATATGAGGCTAAATGACAACACACTAACAGCTGATAGACTCAAAGGAAAACATACACTTTTCTCACTTAGACATGTCTGTGCTTTGCTAACATAGGCTTGATGGCTTATAGGTGCAATGTCAAGCTACTCCATTCTGTGTCAAGACATTGGTTACCCGTCAAGCAATCTCTGTTATTTTACCTATGGCTCACACACAGTCATCGCTGCTACCTGTCCAAAAACAACAGCAAATTCTCTGGTTTTGTCCTTGTGAAAAGGTGCTACATTGTATACCTGCTCAGTTGGAATGAGGAACCTTTGGCTGTGAACCATGGGCGATTGTTTTCTTTGTGGGCAGGATTCCATCATCTTTATCTGCCCTAGTTGTACAGCCTACACATGCAATTTCTCCATGTAGCCCATGGAACTGAAACAATGGGGCATTGTGCAGTTGTCACATTTCTGCTCTATAGGTTAGAAGATTCAGGTAGAGCACTTTAAACCGTCATTCCTAGGAATGTGATAGAAATGTAGCCGTGTTAGTCTGGTGTAGCTGAAACAAAATACAGGACTATGTAGCACTTTAAAGACTAACAAGATGGTTTATTCCTAGGAATGAACCAGCATGGGCTTTTGTGAACTTTTTTTTTTTAATTTGTACTCACATAAATTCACCATTTTGCACAACACTCGGATCCTCTGAAGAAGTGGGATGGGCCCACGAAAGCTCAGGATACCATCTACATGTTTTGTTAGTCTATAAAGTGTTAACAGACTATTTGTTGTTTTTTAAGTTTTTCCTGGTGCAGACTAACGCGGCTACCCCCTGAAGCTTTTGTTCATTTGTTAGTAGAGTTGCTGCATATTCGGACACGAGGGGTCTGATTTTCACAGGTGCTCAGCACGGGCATCTCTCACGGATTTTAGCTGGAGCTGTGAGTTCTTGACACTTCTGAAAATCACGCCCTCCGGAAACATTCACGCTGATTTGAGTGGTGCGAGAAGAGGAACTTGGTACACTATAATAAGTAAATACATAAATAATAAACCCCTTGTGGTTATTTTTCTTAACTTTCAAAATGAATTTTCCACTTTTCAGGTTTACTTTTCACACATGACAGGGGCAAACATGAACATACCTTCCTTCAGCACCAGTGTTCATGAGTCAGAGTGATGGGAAAACGGACACAACATTTCTTATAAAATGTAGTCCTTGTGACAGCTAATAACAGATCTTACAGACTCCCAGTTTCCTTGGCATTTAATGCTGCACCATTAAAGTCAATGGCACTT